TGCTGGGCTGCTCACTCCCAAAAGCAGGCAGATGCTTTGCTGGGTGCGGTGGGTGCCCTGCGAAGGTGGGCTCCCTTCAGGTTATCCTCCCTTTAGGCATTTGGGGACCCTCTGCCTCCCCCCCGCCGTCAAGACCCAACCTAGATGAACTCAATTCTGATGCACTAAATGCATGCGGGCGGCTGGTGAAGTCATATTTGAAATCCTGCATGTGTTTCTTAGTGCTTCCTCAGGGGTGGGATTTTTGCCCCCTCCCCCCCCCTGAGAATATCCACTCCCCTCATTAAATACCATCAACCCACATCACCTGTGTGTGAGCCCACACTGCTATTGGGTCCTGCTTGTGTCTAATAACTTTTCAAAAATCAGGACCGGGGGTGGGAGGAGAGACTTTTTTTAGGAAAAATTTAAATTAAATTAAAATCAGAAGCAACCTTCTTGAGCCACTACTGTACTATGGGAAATATACAACCCTGTTTGCTGGAATGGAGGAAAGACCCTAAAATCTCTATAATCTCTCATCATCCCGACAATAAAAGGATGATATAGAGAAGTGGGGGCAGGAGATCAAGTCGAGGAAAAGCGTGAGTGCTCGCTGACTGGGAACAGCGCGTGTTGCGGTGTCTCTGTGTGCAGCTGAGGAGAAGGGAATAAAAAGCAACAAGAGGAAACTTGAGAAAAAAATCTAAGAAATATGGTCAGGCACCAAAATAGATGAAATACTTAGAAAACAGGCTCCTCTGGGCCTTTTGTCACAGATCCAGGCAGCCCCCGCCCCAGCCCCCACGGTATTCCCTCCTGTCCACCGGGGCACTTTGTCTACAGGCACACGCCTACCTCTGAAGATGGGGTCAGCTCCTCTTGAACCATGTGGGTTGAGCATGAGAGAGGGATGGTTTCCTAAAAATAATAATAATAATAATAATGAAAAGAAAAGAAGGCTTTTTATCAGAAAGAGGTATGTGGGCTGTGGCCTTGATATAGTCCAAACGGATCACACTACCAGTTCTGTCCCACCGTCAGACACGGCTGCCGCGTGCATCGGGCTGGGGGATGGAGGAGGGAGCACAGTGAAGAGCAACCCACACCCATTCCCGCCCCTTCCAGAGGGTTCTTACCCTTGCTCCCAGCCTCCACCCAGAAAACCAGAGGCTTCCAGAGCAGGAAAAGGGCACCCTACACACTCAGCCAAAGTCAGAACCGCCAGATCCTGGTATCAGCCCTGGTAGGAGCTGCTCACCCGCTTAGAGGAGGATCCAAGAGAGACCCGGGCCTGCAGCCAGTGGGAGTGGGGAGGCCCTGTCCCCCCAGTTGTCTTCCAAGACGCTCTCCTGCGTGTCCTCATGTACAACACGGGCGATGGGGCTAGGCCACCTCCACCTCCCTACCTGCTGCACCGTTCTCGAATAGCAAGCTCACCGGGCCCATTAGCAGGAACGGAGGTAGGCGGAGGGAGGCTCGCAGGGTTGGAGGGCCTTGCGAACAGGCTGGCATCCCGTTGCAGGCCTGGCGAAAGTACGACACAGACCGAAGCGGCTACATTGAAGCCAACGAGCTCAAGGTAGGATGGGCCTCGAGGAGTGTGTGAGGAGACGGAGAATGGACCGGGGCCAGGTTGGGGGTGGTCTGAGGACCCTGGGGAAGGAGAAGATACTGGGTGAGGAATGCGGATTTGGTCAGTTTAGACCAGTGATGGCGAACCTATGACACGCGAACTCATTTGAGGAGGGTGTGAGGGGACGGAGAATGGACCGGGGCCAGTTTGGGGGTGGTCTGAGGACCCTGGGGAAGGAGGAAACATTGGGTGAGGAACGCGGATTTGGTCAGTTTAGACCAGTGATAGCGAACCTATGACACGCATGTCAGAGGTGACGCGCGAACTCATTTTTGGGTTGATTTTTCTTTGTTAAATGGCATTTAAATATATAAAATAAATATCAAAAGTATAAGTCTTTGTTTTACTATGGTTGCAAATATCAAAAAATTTCTATATGTGACACAGCACCAGAGTTAAGTTAGGGTTTTTCAAAATGCTGACACGCCGAGCTCAAAAGGTTCGCCATCACCGGTTTAGACTCAGGTCTGGCTCCGGGCAGCCGAGTGAAATCAGTACCATGGAGCTAGAGGGCGCAGAGTTCAACCACACCCCACTGCCCCGCACACACTGCCCGGACCGGCACCCTAAGGCAACCCCAGCGATCAGCCTCTGGCTTGTCCGTCTTCCCCTGTATTCCTCGGGGACCAGGGACCCCAGGCCCTGCTTAGCCTGGGTTCCGGGCTCTCTGAGGAGCCAGAGCCAGTTTCCAAAGCCTTTTCTGTGGGGCGAGGCTGAGCCCAGGAGCCACCTCCAGGCCTCTAAGGTCCCTCCACAAACGTGAGAGGGCTCGGGGTTTGAGGGATGCAGCCGTGTCAATGGCAGGAAGGACTGCGCCCTGAGGGACTGGCTGAGTGGGGAGTCTGAGGGGCCGTTTGCGTTCCAGGGGTTCCTGTCGGACCTGCTGAAGAAAGCCAACCGGCCGTATGATGAGCCCAAGCTCCAGGAGTACACCCAAACCATAGTGAGTGGGCAGGGGGCCCTCCCTGGGGGCGCAGCACGCGGGGCCAAGCCACTAGGTTGTGGTTTGCAGGGTTCTGGGGGCTGATCCTTCGGGCCCCGGTGAAGTGACCCCTGGTGGCAGCTGGAGAAGGGACTCTCGCTCCTGGCCCCACACAGCCTCTCTCTGAGGCTCTCACTGACCAGGAGCATCTGTGTCCATGACAACCTCCGCCGCCGCAGCGCTGGAGAGAGAGGATAACCTTGGAGAGGGTGGCCTGCGGGGCTGGCCTGCTGTCCCCTGCGGCCTTTGTCCTGAGGCGGGGAGAGAGGAACAGTGACCGAGTCCCAGCTGTCTGTCCCCAGTGACCCCTCCAGACCAGGCTGGCCCCTGGCCCCCAGCGACCTCAGGGGAGGCGTGAGCCTGCTCCACCCGCCTCTCCAGGAGGGGAAGGTCAGAGCCAGTAACCTGAGCGTCTCTCTCTGTCCCCAACAGCTGCGGATGTTTGACTTGAATGGCGACGGCAAACTGGGCCTCTCGGAGATGTCCCGGTAGGCGCCCACCCTCCGCCCCAGCGCACTGTGCCCCATCCCGACTCTCGGGTCCCTCAGGGGGCCAGGGGACCGGTCAGGCCTCACGAAGCTCCACGCAAAGCCAGATCAAATCGCAAAAGCCACACCTCAGTGTGTCTGTCTGCCTCTTTTTAGAACTTTCCGCTAACTCCAGACTCAGTGCTCAGCGATCGTTTCCATAACTGCAGGCTCGGCTCCTGCACCCCACCCGGGTGCGAGCTGTTCTCGCCTCTAACCTCTGCTCTAACGTTTTCTTTCCAGACTCTTGCCTGTACAGGAAAACTTCCTGCTTAAATTTCAGGTAAAAGAGCCTCTTTGCTTTTCTTGGTTCCTCCCTTCCTCTCATCCCTCTGAGCCGCACCTTCCACCCTCCTGCCCCCCAACACACACACACAACACACACTCACACACACACACACACACACACACACACACACACACTCACACACTCACACACACACACGGCTTCTGCTTCTCTCTCTAACACCTTGGACCTTCCAGGGCATGAAGCTGACCTCAGAGGAGTTCAACGCCATCTTCACATTTTACGACAAGGTACGAGGGAGGACGGTGTGGGGTGGAAACCTGGAGGCCCCATCCCCGGGGCGTCCCCTGCCAGAATGGCTCCACATGGTCCTTGGGAACAGACGAGCTGTTGGCGGGCAGCTGGGGCCCTGTGGTTTCTTCCTGTCCCTTCTGATTCCCCACGGCGTCCTCGCTGTGTGAGAAGATAAATGTCACCGCGATCCATGGTCTGCGGAACCCAAGGCTTGGGTGCCTTAAAGGCCCAGAGAGAGTCGTTCGTGGTAGAGCGTCTGTTCAGAGCTGGGGTGTGATCGGGTGTTGGGGGCCAAAGGCAGGAGGTGCCAGGACCGCTCTCCTGCCATCAGGTTCGGACGCCAGGTGTTTCTCTGGGACGTAGGGAATGAGAGGGTACCACCCCCCGCTTCTGCTTCCCCCCACCCAGGAGACTCCCAGGGTCTCTTCCTTATAACGAGGGGCTGGGGGTAAGCTTCAGGGAGCCCCTGTCTTCATCCTGCATCTTATTATGGGATGTGACACTCGGCTAAATGCTCCCTGCACCTCGCTTCCATCTCAACGCAAAGGAAAGACACCCGCAGGAAGGGCTACCCAGAGTGTGCCCTGACGCGTCCGCTCCCGAATGGCCTGGTGCCGTCGGAGTGACTGTTAGTTTGGTGCCACCCGGTCTGAGTACAGGGGAGGTTAGAACGAGCGGGTGGGGAAGCCAGGGGCGAAGCCTGCGGCCGGGGCCGTGGGGCTGAGGCTAGCTCTGTACTCACTCTGCGCCCGCCCCCAGGACGGCAGCGGCTACATTGACGAGAACGAGCTGGATGCCCTTCTCAAGGACCTGTACGAGAAAAACAAGAAGGTGAGTAGCGGGCCAGGGCCTGGGGAGAGGGGCCATGGGGGGCATGTGCTCCCCTCTGACCAGCCACACAAGGCGGAACCCGTTTTTTAGGCTGTTGTTTTGTCTTGTGTCTGGTTGAATAGTTGGTTGAAGGGATTATAGTTCTTTTTTATTGAACTTTGGTAAATACACAACATAAAGCTTGCCATCTTACCTTTTTCTGCGCACAGCTCAGTGCTAGCAAATGCATGTGTGATGCTGTGCAACCACCCACACCCGGCACTCTCTTCATCCTGCAAAACTGAAACTCCATTCTCATTCAGCAGCTCCCAGCCCTTCCCTCCACAGGCCCTGGCAGCCACATTCTATCTCCTGTCTCCACAAACCTGACCATTAGGGACCTCGCATGGGTACAACACGCAGTTTGTTTTCTTGTGCCTGGCTTATTTCACTGAACACCCTCGAGGTCCGTCTGTGTTGTAGGCGTCAGAATCCCCTCCTTCTGAAGGCTGGCGACCCCTCTTGCGTGTTTACATCACGTACCTTCCTCCCTCCTCTGCGATGACACTCGGGTGGCTTCCACCTGTTGGCTGTTGTGACTGTTGTGTTGACTGGCCCAGCGCATGGAAGTGCCGACCACATTGCAAACAACAAAAAGACTTTTTTTTTTTTTTTACACGAGGAGAGATTTTGGAGAGCAGAGCCCAGTGGGAGGTGAAGGTATTCTGAACCAATTCAGGGCAGGATCTGGAGCTGGGCAGGGGGCTAAAGGGAGCCACAGACGCATTTGTTCCCTCAGAGAAAACTCAGATTCTGGGCTCCTTTCCTTTGCTGGGTCTGTTGCCCATAGGACAGACCCCAGGAGGCCTCCATGCGTCGCCTCAGCTGGGTGCCGGGC